ACCGGGGACTGTCGGAACTAGGAGGTTCAAGAGCTTTACTCAAAGAAATGCATCCAAGGAGCCTGGTGTTGTAAACGTTGGCGATCCACCATAATTTGGTGCCTTCATGAAGCTCATGTTTTGCCGTCCAGACTGTCCTGCTCCGCGAATCACCACTGAAGAACAGTTGGGCCTGCGACCTTCGCTCCAGAGTTTGCATTCTACATACGGAGTTGCTGCGCTTGCAGCGTCTGGTCGGCTGATGACATTGTCGCGGTAACGGCAGACGATGTTACGCCAGAGGACGAATTACCGCGCGCGGGACTCAACAAGAGCTGACCTCAGTGCTTTTCCCGGGTGCTGACAGTCCCCGTGCCAATGGGCGGGGCGTCGCTGGAGCGGATTGAGTGCGACCGCAAGTGCCTGCAGACGGTGCGGCTGCTGGGCGACGGCTTGGTGAGGACTGTTGATCTTGTGTTTGTAACTGCAGCGTGCTGTTTCTCGTCATCGTCGTAATGTGTTCGAAAGTGGAGTGAAGGTCTACGGATATTCAGAAAGTGCTGATGCAATGCAGGTGATAATCCACTAATTAAAACCTTGGGTCTTTAAATCTGATGCGCGATGCGATTGCGGCGAGCTTGCCCCGGCGCGCAGTCGTGACCTCGCGCAAACCCGGGGCAGGGCGAGCCCGGTGCCGATGCTAGATGTCTGCCCTTTACCACCCCGGCGTACGTCAACAGCATCATTGGAAACTGCTATCGGCTTGCTTTTGTGTCTTTTTCGCCAGAAAACACTTTCGTTGCTGGATGCATGAGATCCCGCCGAGTGCCCATTTCAGCCCCTGCCACGGCTTCGGTTGAGTCCTAGGCGACCACCACACTGAACAAGCAGCGGGATGGTACGTACCGCCACTCTCTCCAAACAGCGGTATTCCGCCTGCGACAAGTACCGGTCTCGCGCACGCATTCTTCTCACTGCAGCCGCCATAATCATCGCTAACTAAGATCATCCCAAATGCTATGCCGCTAGGGGGCAATCGATTGATACCCTATTCACTTTGGACCTTGTACGGCACCTTGCAGGACTTGGCATGCAGACTGCGGGAGATCTATGGTGAATTCAAAGACTTTTGCCTGTAAACATCTTGCGCAACAAATCCCCCCGCTGCCTGTTGACTGGTGTACACCAGAAAGCTTTCTGGTCTCTTTTTATCTTAGACCTATTATTTAGGGCCATTCTGTGAAAACTTTAGAGCGCTACTGCTTTGCACTTGTAGCCCTGTTTGATATGGACTGAAGGGGGTAGCAAGCAAAGAGGAGTGGGGGGGGGTTTAACATAGTAGCTTTTGCGACCAGAATGGGAGTTTTTAGTGAGTGATGCTCATCGCTGGAGGTAGATTGTGCAACCACGCCACTCGCGATGGAGAGGCAGCGCAGCGGGCGAACGAGGGCCTCAACCGACCCACAGGGATTAATGTGGGCCAATGTACCCCCTGGGGTGCACAATGACCCACTTCTTTTCTGTGGCTGTGGTCACCCAGCCACGCTTCCCAGTTCAGGACGCAGCCCTCCTAGACTTTTGGAGCTTCTTCTTGTAGTTCAATAGATGTTTAAATTTCCAGGCGAATTCATCCTCATTAGTATCCCGCTTACACCGAAAATAACGCGGGTGGAATGGAGGAGGTCGATGCCGTAGTCAAGCATGTCCGAAAAGCTCCTATCTTACCTCTCCAGCTGCTGCCATGTCATCGTTGGATGTGCGGGACCGAACCTTTACCTGTTCCTAGTAGACCTTATCGGTCCGGTCTGCGGCAAACGGGCTCGTCGAATGCAACGGTAGACTTGTCGGCAGCGGACTGAAAGTCTGGCCCTGGCCTGGCCGCGGCGGCGCGGCCGTCTCAATTCCTTTGCGGCCACAACATCACTAGTGCTGCATTAGAAATGCCAGACCAAACTTGATCGTTTGCAACTCCTAGGACACGAGCAACAGCGGCTTCCATAGTGTATGCCTACTTGGGTAACCCAACTTTCGTTACAGCCATATCTCCCTCAGTGAGCTAACAGAATGCGTGTGTCACCCCGTCACCATTCCCATTGACAGGTCGGCGTCAACAGCACCCATCCTTTTCCACGTCAACCAAGCAACCACGAGCATCATGCTAAAACTGTGCGCACCGTGAAACAGCGTGTGATAAATCTACCCTTGCGCCAAGTTTAAGAACACAGACAAGCAATTTGCAATCGTATATAAATCCCTGCTAGCTATGAATCTGTTGGAATTGTAGTATGCATGCCAGAACGCGCTGATCCACCCCTCAATCTCTGTGGACACTCGAAATGAATAAACCACCTTTCTTTATTACGATGCACCGGGCAGGGCTTGTATAAGTCAATTAATCCGGTCTAATGGTTCCATCATTTTGTCTACCAACTGGAGAAGACTTGCGTGGACGCGCTCCACCTTGTAGCGGCCCGTTTGGATGTCTTTGGCATTGGAGACCATCTCTTCGTTGCATTGAAATATCGCACCCGTCGTTTCGTCTAGCGCGTTGCGTCGGGAGCGCCCTTCCAGGATTGTGAAAACGGGAACCGCGGTATCGATGTCGCAGCATGAACTCTGCAAATGAGATTCTGCTGGCGTGCACGTGGTCTGCTTCATGCTTGGCGAACCGCTGCTCTTGGCGCCGGTTAATGTGCTCTTCATAAGATTCTCGTACGTGCGCTCGCTCTTTGTTGCTGGCTTGTTAGAATCAGGTGGGAGGTGACCGATGTGGTCGCTGGGAAGCAACAACTCCCATGCCCGCACCAAGAAGCGAAGTCATGATGTCGCGCCACAAGACGATCGGTATCTTGTGCGGCAGCGGCGTCTGGGCGGAAACATGCATGGCCCAAACGAATGTGGAAATCCCGGAATCTTTGGGGTTCTTAACCTCGGACACGTGCTGCATTTGGGAGCTTCCTCTGTCTTTGTAACCGGCATGTGGCCTGAGCAAGTAGTGCTTCTGGACCTTTGAAAGCACCTCGACAGCGTGGAGGACCTTGGAGGCAGGCGAAGAACCAACAAAAAAAGATCGGAACTTCAGAAAGCCCTCCCAATTCGATCGAGTTTCAACAGTCCCTACTTATCACCCGACGCGAATGGGGTCATCATCTGTGTGGAAAGTCCGATCGAAGCAGCCAAGCCGTCGGGGGGCCCGCGTTGTTCTAGGATGCACAATCCGCCGAGCTCCCTCAAGTCGATCAGACGAGTCACCAGTCCGCAGGCCAGAGAGACAACTCCATGGCATGTGTCCATCCATGAGGCCTAAATGGCCTTGACTTTGATAAACTCCTCGGCCGCGTTGACGTCCATCGTATGCCGCTGTCTTTCACCCGGGGGCAAGATGTTTGCCGCTAAAGAGGTGGCCTGGATGACTGCTGGTGCTACGGACGAATCTGCTTCCGCAGAAGAAGTCGACTGCAGGGTTGCTGATAATTTGGACAAGTCTGGTGATTTAGGTGATGCTGTTAGCGGCTTAGGTGATTGTGGCGCTGTATGAGAAGTTGCTGGGATGCCTGCTGATGATGATGGAAATAAAGACTTTTTGTCAGACAGTCTATTGGGGAATTAAGTTGCTTTCTCAACGTATTTGGGAGTGGTCCCAACCTAGTGACGGTGTGAGACCTTGTTAACGCGGCGACCCTCGGCAAAATTGCATAAAATTTGTGAGGTGGATCAGCACAGGCTCGACGACGTAGAAGGCGGCCTCGCACTTGACGGTGATGTTCCGAGGCAGGTGCAGATGGGAGACGATATCGAATTCGCCCCTGCCGGACGGGAGCAGCCACGGTGGTCGGCACCTTGCCCCTGCGATGTGCAATCCGTAGTCGGATTGATGGCTTGCAACGCAGGGTGGGAAGCAGCGCGGTGATGTGTAGCTGCAGGTGCAGCCACGGCTCGATGATGGGGAGATTCAGCCAAGTATTATTAGGAAAGAAAGGCAGGTGCGTCGAGTCGGATTCTGCCTACACCACGTCGACCACCTCCTTCCTTCCATATTGTCTCCCAATGGCCAGGCTGCCCGGCAGGGCTGCCGTCAGTTGCGCATTGGCTATCTGCGGACAAAGACCTTCTTCATAACCACCTTGGAGCCCTGGCTGCTAGCGCCAACGCCCGGCGGCGATGACAGCGTCGGAGAAACGGGGTTTCGTGGCGCCCTCTTGAGGGAGTTGCTGCGCTGCAGACAGCAGAAGGCGGGCCTGTGGTGGTTCAGTACTGTCCTGCAGGACGTGGAGTCGGCTTAGACAATTTGACGTGCTGGGATATTCCCTGGGCAACAACTCACCTTACCCACCCCGCTCGTTCCTGCAGACGCACCAACGCAGAGTGTCAGCTCTTCCACTGATGCATCATCGCCTCCCCCACCGGTTCCGTCGATCCAATCCTTACAGCTTTCGCAGTAGGAGAGAGAACGACTGTGCTTTAGTGGGCGTGGTGACTGCCTAGCTGGTACGTACCCAGTGACCGGAAACTCCTCCCGCAGTGGCATCTTTTTTTTTTTTCAGTGGCAGCTTTTTTAAGGAGGGCCTTTTCGAGCAGGGGCTTTCCGAATAGTGGGAGCTTCACAGTGTTTCCGCCGGGCGGGTACCTAATACCGGCCTTCACACTTCCTGCAGGCACCCGTCGACTCGAAAAGAAGGAAGAAAAACTGTTCTGCTATTGTTTTCTCTCTCCTGCCTCCCAACTACCTCCCTCCAGGCGACGAGTTTCCCCCAATTTCTGTCTTTTTGTCGTCATCTCCTTGGGAGCATCTCTTTTGTCCGTTCTTTGATGCTCGGCCCCTGCGACCCAGACGTACCGGCTTTGCGACACGTCTATTTGTAGCTCTTCAGCGCCCTCTTCTACCTTACTGTGTATTCTTAGACGAGCTGCGAAGCCCCACGGCCTTTTCCTAGGGCGCGTCAATCTCAGCCTCTGGTGTTGCAAGCACCTCGCCTGCCTCGCATTCCCCATGCCTTAAAGACCTGGTCCGTCGCCCCGGCATGTCCGCTCTCGACGCCATCGGGCCCGTTTGTGGCCACGCAATCGATCAAGACGTTGCTGATGCAGCCTCAAATGCGTTAATTGATGCCTTGGATCTCCTGGATCAAGAGCTCGGTCGCAAACTGGAGACCCCGCTGGACGAGCATGGCGAAATCGTCCTTGCATAGCGTCAGTCCTGCCTCTGTGTCGCGGCACCCTTTTCATTTGCTACACCCTTTTGCTGGATGTCCTAGGCTTAAGCTAACTTGCATCTTCTGTGTAGGCTTTCGAATAGGTATGATATACGAATGCTGATGCGCTTGAAATGATGGCTGCGCCTAGTTCTGATTCTCGTACCCTGCTGACTATGGCTAAGCCCTGCATGATTGGATAGAGGAAGAGTTTGCGCTTGCTGTGGATGAGGAAAAGGTCTTCTGATTCTGGGATGACGTTAAGAGCAAGGGAAGCATGCGATCGGAGACGCTGAACAACACTGACAACCTTTACTACGTTTGGAGAATCATCGACCACTGCTGACATGCCGCTGCCCCCAACCACGAGCCTGGCGAGCTTAAGATATAATGGGTTGGACATAGGGAAGATGAGGCCGTCTAGGAAAAAGCCACCCCCGCGTTCATTGATACTATTCCTGGCTCCATGTTCAACGACTACCTAGCCTCCCACAACCTGACGCGCATGCTGCGAACGAGGAAGAAGACTGGCAGAAAACCGAAGGCAAAAGCTGGGAACGCAAGCATTACCGCCAAACAGCATCCTCGGCGAAGCTCGGTCTCTGTTCACCATCACGACCAATCTAACGAGAGCAGTACTCATCCCGATCACGGCGATTTTCAACAAAGCCTCTCGTTCGCAGAGTACAGCGGCATTGATGATCTCCCGGCTTCTGGTCATGGACCCAACATGCCGGACTGCTCCTCCGGTTGCCACCAACAAGAAGCCTCCATACTTTCAGTGGGAGAAAGCCCCCGCGGATGGAATGGCCCAGGATTGCGTGTCAACATGATGTCTGGACAGATCGAATACAGCGCCTTGACGGCGACCGGGACTTCCTACGCCGACGAGGCCAGCCTCATCGATCAACTCAAAGACGTGAGACTGTCCCCGGAGAGTGCGTTGGCAGAAAAGACCATTCAAGTTGAGATCCTAGGACGGGAGCTAAGAAGGCAAGCGGAACAGAGCGTCGAGGAGCGCCAGCAGGCCTTCGAAGATCGGGAGAAGCTCAAAGCGGCCGGGACAGAGACCTGGAGGCTGTTGATGCAGCTGGATAAGGCAAACGAGTACATCGCTGAGTTGGAGGCGCAGAACAGCATGCTCCGTCAGCAGCTCCACCGTGCCGATGTTCAAGCAGATGATTGAGCACGGCTGGCTCATGCAAGGTGGCAAGGGGCATGCCGCTGATGCGTGGAGCTTTTTCACCATCGCCAGCAAAAAAAAGTCGTCCACTCGTTTTCCAATACCAGGAGCAAGCTCGAGGCACCCCACACAGGGTAGTTGGGGGATTTGGAAAATGTACTCCATAATACAGAGATGAGTAGATGGATGCCTAGTGTTTCTAAATCATCTGTTGTAACGAGTGACTTGACAACTTTTCTCTGTGTGCTGCATCATTAATGGGATGTCTGTTGTCTGTGTTTGCCTTCATGACGGGATGGATCTAAATCTCGCGTCGTTGCTGCAAGGACTTGCTGCTGCTGCTGCTGTTGCTGCTGCTGCCCCGGCACGTCTCCGAAAGGCCCTGACATGGCTAGCGGCGAAGGTCACAGAATACTTGCGAAATTATTCCTGCGACTTGAATATTATGGCACGGCGCACTGCGAAAGGAGCAGGTTTCATTCCTTTGTAATGCTCCCGATGGCGGTGGAGGGCCTTCATTGAGGCTGGTCGAAATCCTGGCGGGCGTCGGCCACCCGGGCGCTGAGGTGTGGTAGAACCTGAAGTGCGCTGTAATTACAGTGGAAATGTGACGATTGATAGTGCCTAAACCGTTATATGTCTCCTGGAGCACAGGCCACGCCTGGCTCGTCAGGCGCACCAACAGTGACCCTGAGAGTCCCCTCCCTAAGGTACCTTTCCGAGAAATCTGGACATTCATTGAGCTGAACTTCACCAGCACTCGTCGTCAGCCCCTTCCTGGGGTTCGTAAGTCTGCTTGGTCAGGATGTGTTCAAAACAGGTGGTGACGATCAGACCGTCAGAACCTCTCCTCCATACGCTGTAAGTCACTGGGCCCACCTGCCGCTTTTGGCGCTAGAATCGGCAGTTAGCCACTGACAGTGGGGAGGTAGGCTCGGGTGGAGCGCTGTGGCTACCTGATCGTTGCATCCATATGTCTGCGCACCTCAGACAACTGGCCGACTTCCTCTGGGTCACTTTCTGGTGACGCTCCTCTATCAACCATAACCCGACTTCCATGTTAATTATCTTATAATACACTATTTGGCTGACCCCGAACGATTGAAGTGCAATCACAGCAGCTCCAACCACCTCAAGTACCCATATCCAATTGAAATATCCCTGGGAGATGCTGACATGTAGCAAGGAGGCTTTTGTTCATTTGCACGTCATGTCCGAAAGAAACACCGAAACCAGATCTAACCCCAGCTCCCACCAAAAAGACTTCACCCACCGGGTAGATATCGGCTCTGCAACAGTTATCAACAACACCAAACACTCGTTAAGCGACAGCGCGTCTTGCAGCCCCTCAATTGTCCCGGACCCCATGGTGCAAGGCCAAGGACAGCAATTCGTCGGCTGCCGCCGTACTGTTGCTGAGAAAGACTTGACTCGGTTGCCGTCGAACCTTTTGCCTTTCATGACAAGGACATTTTCGGGCGTCCCATGGAAAACAAACACCTCTTCGACACAGCTAGCGACAGAGGATTGCGCAAGCATAATCAGAACCTGTATGCCACCTGAAATGAAGGGGAAATCTGCTTCCAGTGCGACGAAGACGTCGATCACTCGCAGACCTCCTGTACGATGTTGGGATACTTCTTGGCATTGGCGAGTAGATCAAGATGGAATCATCCTCAGCTCCCACCCCAGCCCTCAGCATGCTGGAATGCGCCGAGGGACAGCATCGTTGCCGCCACCCTGTCCGGGATCGCCGTCGAACTCGCAGAGAAATTCCGAAATGGCTTGCTGCATCAAAACTCCTCGGCTCTTCTGCAAACGGAACTCATGAGTCGGTCATCTCCATGGTGGGTTTGCTTCTGCCTTGTTGTTAATTGTCAAAAGCTGACCACTCACACAGAAAAAGTCAATGTTATTGTCGATAGCGCCGATGCTCTTCGTTACACCACTTCGCAACACCTCCGACGAATGATCAAGTCAATCTCTTGAAACCCGCGTACGATTGGCTCCAGCCTATCGACAGCTTGAATACATGATGAAGGAAGCATTGAGAGATAAAATGCCTCGGACCGAACTATATGAAATTGCGGCTCACTCCGTACCAACACCTCACAAATCTCGTGAAGGGCCAGGTTCAACAGATGTGAGCCCTGCCACCAAGAATCATTGATGCTGTGGATACCGTTGCATTGGACCTGGTGGCGCAAAGACAAGCAACCGACCACGGATTGCCACCTTTCGAGAGAGCACAGTTTGGATCCCTTGTTCCCCCAGACAGGTGGGAAGCTTCCGAGGATGACCGTTGCTCTTTGGACAGGAGCAGAGGTGTCCAAAAGCCTTGATCCTCATTTGATATATATAAGAAGCCTCGTCAAACGAGAACCAGACGGTGCCTTCCAAGCTTATACCGCTAGCTACCGAACATCGTATCGAGGTAGCGTCTAAGACTACAGGCAGTCTTTCTCGTCAACAGGTATTTCTTGACTGAGCCTTCTTAGCGTCTCTCCTCAGGCCAGCTGAAGGTGGCGAGACGTCAGGCCCTGGGAGGAGAATCCGGTCTGCTCCCGACAGGCCGAAAGCCCAAGGGCCTGGTAAGCGAGAAGGCTGACAAAAGTGCTAGTGCCGTTGCACATGTCACAACTTATGTGCAGTGTGGCTCCGCAGCTCTTCAAGAAGCAAATGACACCTGGCGGGCAAATTCATTCAGCCGTTGGCTACGGAGTGAACCGAGAAGAAACGCTGATACGATACTGGGAGACATTGGTTTATTCAGCGAGGATTAGACCAATGGCTTGAACAATAGTGGCTTCGTCGAGGACGAAAACGCAACGACCAGCAAGTGTGGAGAGGGGCTGAGCAGGATCAACTTCAATTGAGAGGTTCCTTTGTGAGGCATCTTGTCCTGAACGTATTTCCCCGTCAGAGTCATACGGCAGTCAAAAAGGTGCGCCCTCAGGCGGCAAAATGCGAAAAAAAGAAGACTAGTCAGAAGGGAAGAAGGAAAACGCGACGACCACCGAGTTTGGAGGGGGCTTGAGCAGTGTAACCCTCAATTGGACAACCTGGCCCAAGAGGACGACGCCGCGCAGTACGCGCAACTCTACAGCCTCTGCCGTGTACATAGAGTTGAGACGGACAGTGTTGTTATACGTGGTATGGATGCAAGTGCCTCTCCGGGGTGAGCTTGTGTTCGTACGGGCCGCCTGACGAATTATCTCCCCCCTTTGCTCTACTTTGCCCTAAATCGTGCGCGTTGGCGAAACATGGTAGTAGGCCTGCGAATTTACCTCTCGTCTACAACTATGGGCTTCTTAACCGCGGGAAATAGCCAGTGGTTCCCTTCGCATCTCCAAAGGTAACACCGATTTGAGCGCCGCGGGTGAAGCAAATGTGTCAGACAAGGCCTTATCCACACATGAAGTGGCAATCCACAGGGGGGGAGGTTGGATGACGACGGAAAATGATGCTGGTTTGGGAGGTGGCTGGTGGTGGCTTGATAGCGAAAAGGAGCGTGGAAATGGCTGCAGATGTCGAGATTGGAAGGCTTGGTTTCGAGCTTCCGTAGGGCGCATGCTTGTCAATTGAATATGGGACGGCTGGCGATGGCTTGAACCTACACTCGAGGGCGCAAACTCAATGGTGTGACTCCTCGCTAGGTTTGTGTCCCGCATCCATCAGCCTGGCCACATCGGAAATAACCATGATAAGCCCGGTTCCTCTGTATGTCTCCGAATGTGCAGGAAAGCGGAAGAAGCCTGCTAAGCTGACTGGTCTCGATGTGCCGACAGACACCGGTGTCAATGCACCATCATTGCCATCTGGCAAAAGTAGTTGCAAAGATAATTGCCGGATGAGCCGCTATGGCCCAGAGTTCAACCATGCCGCCGTTGCTCTGGGGGTGTTTCGGAATTCCTTGACAGATACCGCCTGCGTTCACAAAGGCTGGTGATCAGACCACAAGTAAACCAACGTCTGCCAAAAGCCCTCCTATGAATACGTATTGGGAAAAGTGGGTGAACGGATAAGATATGCACTAGACTTTTCGACAGCACGCCACGCCTTTCGGCTCATGCAGTATGGTACCTGCACTGTCCCTATTCTTAAGTTCTTATGTCCTCACTGTGGCTGTGGTCTTTTACGGGTTGAGTCTCGATTAAGTCTTCTTATGATAACACCGAAAAGCGCGACAGGCATAAAACCGCGGCTCCTAATAATGCACTACCTATAGCTTCTCTCGTTTATGCCTTTCTGCTTACTGTTTTTCCTTTGTTTCTCAATGCCTACTGTCTCGATCTCGCCCCTCTGTATCAACTGTTTGATTGGCGGCCTAGAAAAGTTAACTAATAAAAGATAATTCTTGGACTTGCAGTCACTATGGGATGATATATTCACGTAAGAGTGGAGGTTACTTGCTAGCTCTGAGAAGGCAACTGATGGCGTAATCAGCGCGATCAGTCTGTATTTCTAGCTTGATAGTGGACGCCTTATTCTCATGATGTTCTGTTGGATTCATAGATTAATCTTGTGAGCCTTCTGCTGGGGGATCACACTGTGATTGCCTCTAACGTACTGCTTCAGACCTTTCAAGCTTGCAAGGTGTTGATTTCAGAATGGTCGTTAATACTGGATCCTGGACCTTGTCGGAATACAATGCAGAAAATGCATAAAACATGTTCTCGTGACCCTCGGGGACTGTTCTCATGTATGATTTCTTGCCTTCCTGTGTACCGTCGCTTCTATTGCCATATTCGGTGGCTAAGCCGACGTCTAATACGAGGATGTAACTTTTGTTCTTGTCAATGGCTTGATGGCTCGCTGCCTTGCTATATGTCTTGTGCACCTGAGAGGTTGGAAAGGACGTTGGGAAGATCTGTTTGCGAGACTATCGTCCACACGACCAGCACAGATGAAAGGGCGATAAGGGCTTGAAATTTATGTGAAAGATAGCAGTAGGATGAGAAAGAGCTAGGGAAGGGGCTGATTTTAATGAAAATAGACTTCTAGTATGATAACTTGGAGCTTCACTAAAATGCAAAGAGGCTAACTGATGGTGAGTCTGTTGCTGTGTCATCTTCTATATTGAAGAGACTGAGGGTGTCTATTAGATGGAGAAGTTTATAGCTATAAAAATGGGATGCTCACTTGTGCAGGGTGGTAAGGGGTTTAAGGATCTGGACGGACTTACTGGGCGGGTGAGAATGAATGAGTGAGTGAGAATAGGAGCAAGTGAATGAGAACAAAAAAGCTCCTGCAAACCATTTGCGCTACCTGGAAGTCATCTTATATAGAGTTCAGTGGTGAAGGACTGTTTCACATCAGAAATAAGACGTAATGCCGCCTATGGTACAACTATTCTGGTGGATGGGATGCTATTAAGGGGATTCCCGCTTGGATTATTCTGGAAAACCTTGCAGAAGAGAGGGCACTGCATAAGCTTTCATTTGGCCACGAAAAACCACTGAAAGGTTATGGCGATGCTGGTAAGGGAGGTAGTGCTGATGGTGTTGCTGTTGGTTGAGTCTGACTGGAGTTATGATCTCACGTGCTTGGGGAGGGATGCAGAGTAAGATTGCAAAGGCTGAGAAACGAAAGAATTGAGGCTAGTAATAATGGCTGAGGGCTGTTAGTAGAAGAAATGAAAAACGTATTTGTCGTCCTCGGTATTGCTGCTGCTACTGCTGCTGCTGGTGTCGTCGTTATTATTGCTCCTATCGAGCTGGCAAATAACGGGGTCTATGTCTCTCGTATTCCCAAGGAGATACAGCTGGGCTAAGATTGAGGCTTGATGGCTTTCCGGGGCTCACTGCTGGACTTCTTCTCCCTTGCAAGTCGGGTCACTTTAGTGAGTCTTATATAAAGGTCTAATGTCCTCCTGGATATTGCAAGTCTATCTAGTAGGGCCTATATATCAGACGTGCGATTATATTGGTAGATCTCACCTAGCTTATCCTCGCCATAAAGTTAGGGTTGGTACAGACGGGACTATTTAAAACCCTAGCATGAATATGTCTTTTTCCCCCGTTCTAGACACTGTTTCGGCTGCCTCAACTGTGATAGCTATTTCATTCCGGGGCGATTCATGGTTTCGTCGGCTATGCTGCGTAATCTGGCAATGCGTGACGTAAAGCATGGAGAGACACGCCACAGTAATTTAGATAGTAATGCTTGAAGATGATCCTAACTCAGGCCCCTTTCCCCTGAGTGTCCTAAACAGAATGGCGCTAGTTGACCTGTCTGACTTGACACCACCCGACTACTGCTGACATATTTCACGTTGCTAAGTGCAATACCTATGTTTGGGCTATAAGCTGAATGCTTCTATTATTGAATCTAAATACTGGTTTGGGTTGCAATAAATCAGTGCTATGGAGCTGCCCTGGCTCAGCGGTAGCATTCCTGTGTAGCTATGAGTAAGTTTGGCCTCCACTGCCTGTAGCGACTGGGTGAGCGGTTGAGGGCCTTGGGCTATAAAGGCTTCTGTGTTATGCTGGCGTCATAGACGTCCGACTAGATTTAGGAAGACTGTCATCTGATCTGCGAATGGTAATGTAGGAAGGGTGTAATATGACTCCCTAATAGTTTGTTATTGATGTGGAGGTGGTGGGAAGATGAACTACTGCGTGTGTTAGTAACTGATGTAGGGGATGGTTGAGTCTGAGTGGTATTAGCAAGTTGGGTGTCTGAAGAGTTCATGTAACATTTGGGTAAACTAGCGGGGTGGCCACTAACCTGCTTGAAGGCAGAAAGGTGTGTGAGTAATGACGCAGGGGAAACACTAAGCTTTCCAGGCAACAGAGGGTGAAAGCTGAATCTGGAACTCTGGGGATAATTTATATAGGGATGAGAAAGGGAGCTGGAACCTTCACTACTTTAGGTGGTCAACCTCAATGTGGAGGAGATCGTTCTTTTAAGAGGTAAGTATGATGCTGCCCCTCAAAGTGTGTTTGTTTGATATTGGTAGGAGTTCCTTTCCTCCTCTATAGGTAATAATGATATGGTTTGTCTTGTCACACTGATACTACTTGACACCCATGAGGATCTCAATAGATGATAATGTTATGGAAGATCTCGGTCGAGCGAACTCTCAGCAACGGAGAGAAGAAATATGAAATCACATTCCGACAAATGCTAAAAGATATAGACTTTGAACTTTGTACTGAGACTAAATGGGAAAATATGTTTATGGGAGTCAAGTCTAGTCGGCTGCCTCTGACTCTGCCGTCTGAGATTCAACGTTCATGTGGCTTGCGTCGCCTGACACGGGTCCAGAGGTCGGGCAGGCCGCCTGCCTTCTTTACGCTCACAAGTGTGAGCTTTAATGCATTAGGAAAGCCTCCACCCCAAACACTTCGCGGTGCACATATGCGCGGCTATCATCGATGGGCTTGTACCCAACGATTTCTCTGCAGGCTATACCGCTTCGCCATCCATACAGACACAGGTATTTCAACTTCATGCGCATGAAGTTCAGCTAATTCGTTGCCACATACACAAATGATGACTCATAAGACAATAAGTGACCGTCTACTAGTTTGATGTCGCTTTTGTAGGGGTCCTCAAACACATTCTCAATCTTCCCAGGCAGCACGCAAAAGTGGTGTGCATGCAGTCGTTGGATGTGGGCAGGGGTCATTGAGCATCATCATTGACGGCCATACAATTGACTGATACCACATCGACAGCTTTGAATCCTTTGCTCCTAATTTGCATTGACCAAAGGTTTAGCCAGATATCCCTGAAAGACATACCGGAAGTTGATACCTTAGTTGTAGAGACAGAAACGCAAGGCATCGACGTATATAAGGCCAACATCCCACTCGGAGCTTCTGCTGAAAATGTTGTCTTTTCACTGGCGTACTCCAATCCCAAAATGAGAAATGCGACTACCTCGGCCTCAAAGCAAGAGAGTCCCTTCCAGACCATGTAAAGACACCAAGTAACAATAAATCCCTGGTCAAGAGAATAACATTCAATAGTGACAAGTGAGGATATCAATGACAAGTCATCTGCGATATCAGAACAATCAGGTATGGAGTAAGTATTAGCACAGGCTGGCGGAGAGACCGGAGGTGCTCCATCATCCATAGCTCCGTGATGAATTTTGCTCGGTCCGAGAGAGTAAATTCACTTTTAGAGTGAGCCATCTTCTTCCCGAGAATGAGCACTTTCCAGTGATTCGCGCAATCTGAAGCACCAAGGCAGGTGGCAGGAGGCAGTCGGTCTTGCCGCCATGACGTGGAGGTTATGAGATACCTTTGACTGAATGGCGTGCCACGGAATGGGAAGTTCAGGCCACACTCGGTGCAGGAAACATCGGAGCTGCCCCACCCGACAGGTTAGGCAAATGCAGTGGAGATGCTTGAGCTGCTGGACCCCCCAAGTGAAGAGCCGGACCGGGCTTCTTGCAGGGGAAAGTTGGAAGGCCCACTCACAGCCCCGGGGCTTGCCTCACATGGAAATGCCGATGCATCCTGCCAAAGATCACTCTTGCACTTCTTGTGACATGCAGACTGGGCTCTTGCACTGCCTAAACCTTAGCTTCCGCCGTCCGCGCCAAGAGAAGTCTCCCACGACCCGGGCATGAACAGACTAGCCACAATGGTGTCCCAGCTCCGTTGAATATCCATCAAATCAAACCCACGTCCGTCGCGATCATGGATGGGAGAATTTGTTCTTGTTCTTGGACCCTCATTTTGATGTTATGCTAGTGTTGGACGGTTTGTAGAAGGTCTCATGAACACAGGCTCATGTGTCAGTGCTTGCCGACGCTGAAGGAATCGATCATTGGTTTCGTCATGCCCAAGACGTTTTTAACGCGACTGCTTTTCATGCGCCCAAGTTTCGTTCAGCTTTGCGTGCTGTGGATGATTCAAACGAATGTAGGTAGACTTGCCGATGAGCCTGGCTTGTTAATTACCCCAGAACCGAGCCACTGACACAATTCCAGCATGCGAACAAGAAAATATCGCAACATCGTCTACACTCCGCGTTGCTGAATATTTTGTGTTTGAGGGACCATTCCTTGAAAATGTGGATTTCTGAAGGTGTTGAAGCACTCGACCGGCGCAAAGCCGTGAAAACGAGAATGACGGGTTTTCTGCCCGTCAATGTGGGGTCGGCGATCGGCCCGTGCCGCAGTCCCACTAGGCGCACGGACAGTGACAGAAGCGACCAATCCAAACAGCGCCTTGTCGTTGCTATGGCAACAACGCTGCATCAGAAAGCAAAACAAACCCCAAAAAATGAGTCTTGAAGACAACGCCATAGCCCAAAACCCATCCTTCGCCATACCCACTCTGCCAGTTCGTCAATCAAGTATGACTTGCGTCGACATCACCCCTTCTGATTCATCTGCTACAGCCTTCATCGAGGCTTGGATTTCGCAGATCAGTGAGGTCGGCAACGCGCACGACGTATTCGATAAGCCAATCGACGAAAGCTTCGAAGTCTTCAACTTCATGACGTCGAAGACACCTAGCCCCTCGAAGAAGCGCAAGGCCAACTCTGCAGACGCTGCACCCGATCTCGACGCGACACCACGCCCTCCCGGGACAACTCTTTTCACGCACCGTCTCCTGGCAACTCGCTCCCTCGATGATTCCTCCGCCACGACCCAGATAACGTCCGATGCTTCATCCGTCTCTGACACATCGGACGCGCCCTCTGGGGCGTCCAGCCCGAAGAAGCGGGAGGGCGAGCTGCGGGATACCTCAGACCACCCTCTTCAACGACGCAACCTCAGAGAGCGGGCCCCAACACCCCTCATGCGCGATCTGTTGGCTATCGCGTCTGGCCCTGTGATTCCTCACAGCGTTAAGGTTCGGAAAGAATCCCTTCTTCACACTTTGGAGGCATCTGGCTGACCATTCGATTTCAAAGGGTCGCATGAGTCGCGACTCCGACTGGATGAACCAACCCCAAGACGCATGGTTCTACCCGCAAACCACAGGAACCCACGACGAAGCAGCGATCGAGAACGATACCTACACATACATGAGAGCTCGAAGAATCGAGAAGAACACGACTTTGTGCAAGCAGACGATGGAGCATGAAGCGGGATGGAATGACATGGTGCATTCGCAGCTGCTGGAGCTCGCGCTCGCTGACGAGAGCGGCGTCTCGTTCCGCAACATGTGAGTAGTCCATGTGAGCTGCACCTATCACTGCGTGTTCTAACTGCAACAGCACATGCTGCAGTGTTCTGGATGACTTTCGCGAAACGGACGAATTCGTCCGCAACGCCAAGGTAGACTACGCCATAGTCCTCAACCCGGACGCCACCACGACTCTCGCAAACAGCATCCAATCCTACAGGCAGCCCGGTCCACGAACCCACCATATTGTCCACGTGAACCTGCCGGATAGAGCCGCAACGCCAGTCACCGTCTCGATTGAAACTAAGAGCGCCAATGAGAAACCGTTGTCAGGCCGGGTGCAGCTCGCCACATGGGCACGCGCTCACTTCCGGCACCTGGAGCGGCTTCCCTCTGCCGGAGTGCTGCCTATCCTGCCGCTTGTCTTGGTGCATGGGTCCACGTGGACCGTCGATTTTGCTCAGTATACGCCGGATAACTTGGTGAGCCTCGGTTATGTTCACTTGCATGGCATTTCCGCTGACGACGTGATAGATTGTCTGGGATGGGTTTTCCTTGGGGTCGTCAGATACTGTGCATGGATGCTACAAGATTATTGCTTGTCTTCGGAGGCTTGGAAGATGGTCTAGGGAAGACTTTGCCAGTTGGTTTGCGGCAGCCATTGAACTGAAAGATACTGCGTAACCGTAGAAATACATCTTGCGCTGGGTTCTTCCACATATCCGGCCTGTATGAGGCCCTACGGTCCCGGGGCGAAGTTCCTGCCGACGCGCCCGCACTGGGAGTGGGTCGTCGTAATTGAAGTCATGACCGCCCGCGATGGAATCCCTCGTGCCGCCCGATTCCGTCGTTGTGCGTGTGTGATTGAAGTTCTTGTTGCGCCTGACTGATCTCGAGATTCGCGATGTAACTAAATCCGGGTGGCGACGATGCATCAATGGGGATGGTGACTGGTGACGTCCACCCAGCGACCTTTCGACAGCAACAATTGTAGTATGTCACCTTGTCCTTTGAATCGGTCTGTTCCGCATACATGGCGAATACTGGAAATCTCGACATCCAAGCGTTCTGTGCCGCTGTCAACGCCGCCAAGCCCCCGCAAGGCAGCGTTTATAACCTTCTCCTCCAGTTTGAACGCCAGCTTGTCCAAGCCAGCGAAAACCTTGACTTTTGCCAGGTCCGCTTGGTCATTCCCGACGAAATTACCCCGAAGATCATCAACTCATTCCCGGATGAGCTCTTTGCCCTGCCGGCTCAGATCAAACCCGAGGTTAGAAGAGCGGCTAAGGCATGAAATGTACGTCAACTAGAGATCTTCTTCGCTCTCGCCTGCGACCACGTCACTCAGGGAGAAGGCTTCCTCAGATATCTCTACGAGTCCGTAACATCAACCCAAACCCCTTTCTAATCCGCCACCACCATCTTCTGCCACCCCGCGGCAGAGCGGCGGCGTCAGAGATCCGGAGCTAGCAAGCGCAATGAAATTATATCGGCCGACATTAGACTGGCCTCGGCAGCTACTCGAGCAGGCTGCCAGTCATCAACCCAAGACTTGTCGTCATCGTAACCAGTCCTTGCCAGGCCAGCCACCAGCCTCCAGCTCGCGAAGCCGTACTTCCGACTCCGTGCCCGACCTGGAGTTACCGTGGGGCATTTTCGGTGACCCTGAGACGTCATTTCCCGTTGCCATCGACAGCGGCATGCTCGACAGTGACGTCAACAATGTGCACAATGGCAATGGTCACCGCATTTCTCCTGGCGTCAACCTGTACCCATCTCTCGTTATGGAAGCATACTCGACCAAGACTCCTGACCTATCCGCTGAGGTCTCAGCTAATTCCCTCGAAAAAGCAAGCTCAGGCGTGGAAAACAAATCAGGCGCAGAGCATAAGGAAGGCATCCTAGAGATTGAAATCCATAGCCCAGATGAGAGGGACGCCAGTATTGAGGCTTGTCCGCGCATGTGTCCATCGGCAGACAGACGTATAACCACAAGATGGACGTTCAACTCGCCGCGGCCAAGAAGACTCGCATTGAGGTGGAAACCCCCAATTCCGACGCCACTATGCATCCCCACAAGGTTACCACGCAGGCCGAGCAGGCTGAATCGTGCAACATCCTCCAGCGCAAAACATTAGTCTCGGCGATATTGTTGAATGACCTCTTGAACGGCATTTCCAAGCTTACGGGGGCAGTAGTCATCGATACGGGGGACTCGAGTAGACTGTTAGCCCCCAATTACCAAGTCAAGGTGTACATCACTTGTTCCGTGGCCAAGTGTGACAAAAACATACTGCGGTTGCCCCTTGGTAACTACCATTAGTCGTTTGTCGTCCTCAAGACATAGGATCAATTGGTTAATACCATCGACGCGTCAGACGCTTCCTAATCAGGGCCACAGCAATCAGATGGAGAACATCGCCCCCAGCTTCATCGAACAATACCTTCTAAATACCCCTAAACACGTCCACGCTGCTGAAGCCGTCCTCTGTCGCGAGCAAGACAACGGCTGGTTGCTGTGTCTTTTCTTCGCTTTTGCGATGCAAACATCCTCGCCAGAAGGCCTCTCCGCAAGCAAGTTGAAGCACAATCTGCCGATATGTGATGGCCACCATTTCGGGCGTCACCCTTAAAGGCTGGACCATATTCAGTTCCAGCATCCGACCAAAGTCCCTTCCGCTCTCCATTCCGGTAGAGCCAGCGACTGCTGATTCTCTCAACGAGGCGACTGTACCTTTTGAAGACTGCAGACGAAGACAAAGGACATGATGGTGGCTTTCACAAAGATTGAGATACGCAGACTGGAGCCTGCACGGCCGGAGACGAACGCCGCGTTCCGCGTTGTGTCTGGAGTTTTGAACTCGGGGGCTGTGCATGCGGAGAGGGTCAAGGAACAGTAATGCGGGGATGTTGTATTGCATCCGCAGTCTCTCGACGCTGGTGAGCCTGTAAATGTCGTTGCGGCTTATCGCAGATCAAATAGAGGAAGCGCAACGCGGGCTTCAATGTACGGCGTGCATGGAAATCGAGGTACTAGTTGAGAATAAATGATGTATGAATGATGTGTATGACTTGATGAGTGGGCTTTCCCTATTCTTTGAATCTGGATCTAACTTTGTTGGAGGCTTATTTCCGGCTTTCCCTTTTCTCGGCCTTTTTTTTTTTTTTTTGATGTGGTTTCCTCAAAAGCGCCTTTTCATGGTGCTACTTTTGCAATATTGTGGCATCAAATTTGGACACCGACATGTTTTAAACTACGCCAGAAACTCCGGGAGTATACAGAATTACGAATGCCTTGACTTGAGAAGACGTAAGCATGCTTTATGCCACCCGATTATCTTGAATATTGTCTCAGTGAAAACACCTGCTTCAAGTGCTATGGATATGAACTCGATGACTTCGCAGTTTTAATTGCTACGACTGCTCACTGGCTTCAACTGTTAGAACCGCGGTTACTTGATTGGTTGATGGAAAACTCGAATGTTGGTATTCGGGCAAACACAAAGCTACTGCGTATGATTGTATTTCCTCCCCTGTATTATGTTGATACATGCCTTTTTGGACTCAAAGATCGGCGGGCGCTTGGTCATGCTTTCTTTGCCAATCAGAACAGGGCCAAAAAAATGTTTCCAATCTCATTGTTCCCTGGATATGATTGCCTTTGTTTCTGAGAGTCCGTTTACTTACTTGTCTTTAGTTTCTCAACCAGCTTGCCAGTGGAATTGTGCTTGAAGTTGAGGGGCCTAGTCTCAATTGCTCCTAGCTAGAGACCCCAGAAGAATGACATCTACGACTCGACATTGCGACGAAGGAGGCAGAAGATGCAAAACAGAGACTCCCCACAATTGAAATTCGACTGCGTTCCTAGATTGGGAAGGACATTGTCGCTGAATAGCATGATGATCCGGCCGATCGTGTCTGCCGTGCCGTGAAAGTGGCTTCGATTTTCAGTAAGTCCATCAACATCCTCACGAGGACATTTGGGTTCCGTCTGCTGCTGTTATTTCTTGTCGGATTTGTTCCTTATCTTAGCCACGTTGTGCTCTTTGAGGCTACCGACGTAGTCCTCCACCCAGCCGCGGTTATATGGCGAGTAGAGAGTAAGGGGGGCAAATCAAACGACTTATTTTGACCTTGATTATTTTGATGCATCGCCAATGAAAGACCAGACATGTTCCTGCGAGTCTGACTTGGCCGCCTCAGCATCCTCTCTTTTTAAGCATAAGTCTCTGGGAGTTACAAATAGTCTTTAGCGGAGCAAATAAGCAGACATACGGCCCTTGGCATAAACGGGTAGCTACTCATATGGCAGTCGGCGATATTACGACGACGAACATGTTGGCTGTTTCAAGTAGTCACTGATGTCTTTCTCATTCCCTGGCTTCCCTCCACAAGACCCACGAATCCGCTCAAAAAGGCGTTTGTCGGACATTCCAGACAGCCAATACCCACTCGAACTTTGCTCTGATCTGCATGCCGAGCGATGGCTACATGAGTGGGGTGGACGAGCGCCATCAAGCTACCAACACCTTCATTACATGGGTGGATGAAGACTTCAAGGCAACGCCAAGCGTGGTTTTGGCACGATGGATGGCAAGCGCCATGGCTTCCCTGCATCAGAGCCGTTTTGCAGACAGTGCTTTCTAACGCCTACCTGACATATTCGCGGGCGCATACAATGGGTTGAAGACTGTTTTTTTATCATGTTGCACCACTAGGTAACAAGGCATATGGTGATCTCAAGGTATTACGGGCTTGTCATGACGGATTTGCCCAGACAGCTGGGGAGTCTTTTTTGCGCTATTTCAGGCATTCTACACCAATTTTCGAAAAGAGGCAGCTGTTCAAGTACACGGCTGAAGTCGTTGCCACTCGAGTTCGGCAGACATCATCGCATGGTCTGCTATGGATGGATCTCTGATGAAATGGCGCAAGGGACATCGAGATGATCCTAAGCTTTTTGAATGCTCATCCCCTTGCCTCTACCACGCGTCAAATTCCTGAAGGCCCGGAAACACAGGATTTAGTGTTGCAAGCAGACATTGTGTTCGTCAGGGCTGCTGTGCGGCGGCAAGATCGGCCCTCAGACAAAGTGAGTAGCGACCCGCAGTTGAGCAGGATGCGTCAAAGGAATTTCATCTGCAGGGATGTCATTTTGGACGTATACTCCCACTGGCTTTCCTGATATTGTTGTTGAGAAAGCAGACACTGTGGTTATCAATCGTGCTTGATGCAAACGGGTGACTTGGTGGCAGACATGAAATCTTGGATCATCAAGCCAGAGCTAGAGAGCTCTAGGTCAGTGTTACATCAATGGACCACTGCGGCACGGATCTTGCCTCTACTGAAGTGTGGGCCGACGACAAGTGGGAAAGAAGCGCTCCTCCGCCCAGCGAGCCTCCGGGGCTAATGGTGCTGTCTTCACGCAATAAAAGTTGATAATTGATTGCTACGGCGAGTACCGAACCAGGAAATGCTGCACCAAAAGTGTCTTTGTAGCTGCCATGATCATTCCATCCCTGCAAATGCCTTGATGTGCTACATTGCCATGCTCGTTATCCGGTCATACCCGTCCATCTGCACATCGCCAGCAGATGTGTATACGCATCGTTTTGACTGCGGCAGTAGA